TGGGGAAGGGAAAACGGAAGGTAACGAGGTGCAGTGGTAAATGGTAAAATATATACAACAGGAAAATCTAAATTATTGTGACGGCAAAGCGCACAATTTAACTAGCGGACGCTTAATGACGCCGCGAATCGTAAGAACCGAAGCTACTCCGGCGATTGCTGAACAAGTTGCCAACGGGACAGGCGCAAGGTCGACCGATGCAAATGGTCAGGGTCAGGAGGTGAGGGGAGGGGAGGAGTTGCAGTGTCCAAAAATGATCAGAGATGAGACGAAATGTGAAGCAGAACGACCATGTAATTTTATGAGATTCAACTGAGGTCTTCATTATCCGATTAAATTCTCGATTGGCAGCGATAAAATTTGTGCCACAATCACTAAAGATTTGAACACACCGACCACAAGGCTTTCAGAACCTTTGTTTCGCGGATCTTATATTATCCAACCCATGGATCCAACCTATACTACCTACACGAATTAAGTTCTCTCCGCCCACCATAGGGTAGAGTTGGACTGGGTCACTGAATTAAGCTGGGTCGCTGGGTCACGTCATACCATCTTCAGTTAGACCCAGTGACCCAGTTTGACTCAGCGACCCAATTTCACCCGGGGACCCAATTTGACCCAGTAACCTAGTGTGATCGAATAACGCAGTTAAGTCAGTGACTTCGGTTCAAGTGTACAGATTATGAAATAAATGAAACTTAATGCTGGTTTGTTGAAAATAATACTTGATTGCTTGACAACTGCCATTTCTGTGATGTTTGCTTTAATACTGCCGTAAAAAAACCTTCCATGTCCCGAATTGTATTATAGTAATGTTATTTCTGAACAGTTCCCTCCTTCATTTCTTTGCTTCAGGGCTTACCAATTGATTACTGGTGTTCATTCATATTTAATTTTCTTCTACTAGTTAGCTTAATAGTTAGCTTAATCCAAATAAATCTGTTCTCTGAATACTTTCATTTACTACTTGACTACAAACTATAAACAAATGCATTTGATTTTTTAGGTATTAGTTCTCTTGAATGAAATTGGGTTTTTTTTTTAAATTAAAAGTTACTTGAAATTGTTTTGGATGACAAAATTTAAACACCAATACAAACCTAATGCTATAAATTTGAATAAAAATTAACCTTAAGATATTCCGGATACCCAACAATAATTTAATTACTGGGTCACCGGATTCAACTGGATCAACCTAGGGGTCAACGGTTTAAACTGGGTGACCGGGTCAAGATGGGTCACCAGATAAAGCTGGGTTACTGGGTCCCGGTCAAGCTGGGCTACAGGGCCAAACTGGGTCACTGGGTCATCGGGTCAAGTTGGGTCACCGGGTCAAGCTGGATCACTGGGTCACCGGGTCAGTAAACTAACTGGGTCACCGGGTCAGTAAACTAACTGGGTCACTCTATGCTTGACCCAGTCCAACTCTGCCATAGGGGATAATTTTGCGAACCATTTTGGCAGAGAATGATACGAATAAAAAAAAAACCTCTTCCTGGGCCACTCTAGTTATGAACAATAACGCACTATGACACTCCTTGGAGAACAAGGGGCCTATATAATTATCTCATGAATCTCCAAGGTTATGGCAATATTTTAAAATGTAAGCTACAATGACTTGTATCTTGTTCAACGACGAAACTCGAGTTAAAAGACCACGAACAAAATGATCTGAAGATCCAATGTAATTGTGAGCGAAACAAGAGACGATACTCGAGTGCTTTTGTTTCAATCCTTTTAAACGAGGCGAATTATGAATTGGCTGTTAAGGCCAGGAACTAAGGGAGTTAGACAGAAATGTGGGACCTGACCACCACAGGGTATGAGACAAAAGCTGACTAGGGAGCAGCCCACGAGATGCAGGATATAGAGTGCCAGCATCGAGGCGAAAAGTTGCCATTGTTGCCAATACGAATTTTACCAATTTTTCCAAAAGAGCAACTGCATAAAGTTCGAGAGGGACACGGTCAACTCGCCACCGACCGACTAGCCTACGGAACAACTCGTCAACGCGACAACTGGCCAACGGGACAACTCGCCAACCGGACAACTCTCCACCGCGACAACTCGCCAATGCGACAACTCGCCAACGGACGACTCGCCACTGCGACAACTCGCCAACGAAATGTTTTTCCCTGTTTAATGTGTCATACAAATGCATCCCACAAATGCAATAGTCAATTTCCCTAATTTTGTAAACAAAGTTTATCGAAAAATTGTAGTCAATATTTGAATGAAGACCCAACCGCCAATAGGTACCTGTTTCTATTACTGCATTTTGATATAACGACATCTTCTGCAAATTACCTGGTTATAAGGTAATTAGAAGACAAAATCACCCTGCTAACATTTTCCAATACATTTTTAATGACAGGCAGTTTCTTTTGTTTTCCCTTTCAAGTAATGAAATGTCGCATTAGGAGTTTTAAGTGCAATTTGAGTTTCCTATCTTTACGTTGGCGTTTTGTTTTTATTTTGGAAATCGGGGAATCTATTGCTAACACGCGCACGTTAGTAAAGGGAGGTACTTGCATTGAGGTAAAAAATGAGGGTATCGCTATCGACAATCATAGACATTCTTACTCTCATATGTCAATGTCGACAATGGGGAATGAATATTGCAACAAGAAATTGTTACTCACTCTTTCGATTTATTTGAACAGAAAATTTGACAATCACATCGTTATTTGAACGACACAGGGAACAATATTTCGTTGGCAAGTCGACCGTTGGCGAGTTGTCCCTTTGGCGAGTTGTCGCGTTGGCGAGTTGTCTCGTTGGCGAGTCAGTCGGTGGCGAGTGGTCCGGTGGTGAGTCGCCCTTGGTGAGTTGACGCGTACCGAGTTCGAGACCCCGGGGGATTGATAATTGTTTCACTGGCTCAACCTTTGACTTCCATACACCAGTATTCAACTGGTATGTAGTTATGGGATCCGTAGGTGTGAATCGTCACCGAATGAGTTGATATTTACGATCCTCAGGGCGAATAAGAATTTGGCGAACGTCACAGGAAAAACCACCGAATGCAATCTGAATTGCAGCAGCACAATATTGTTTTGGTCCAACGAGAAGGGTATCACTAAGTGATTTCCGATTGGAAGTCTTGGCCGAGTCTCTCATGAAATCCACGTACAGCGACTAGGGGCGAGACGAATTTCTAATGAATGTAGACAACGATCGGCGATAAAAAGGAACCCTCGAAATCAGGATCTGAAGCCTTGAATGGGGGCGCTACTAAAGTGAGCTGAGGTTTCACGAAATAGCAAATTCAGGAGCTAAGATTTTGAAAGGAACTTCCAAAACTGTTTTACAACTTGTTCTAACGATGATGAAGACGAAGGGAGCGACGAAAACAACGATCCTTGAGAATATGCAAAATTAAAAGGGCCCAAAATGGCTTGACCAAAACTGTGCCCAATAGAAACGGGTGATCTTTAGTTGGAGAAACACTATCGCGACTAGTACGAGCGACAAGAGCAGATACCTACACCAACTCCAAGCAGCAGTTGAATTGTGTGATATTGGTACCAATGAACGTTATCTAACACCACGCGGGACGCAGCAACTTGAAACAGAAACGTAATAACTTATATGAGTGAAAAGAGCGAATTTTTTCTGCTATATATCTCAAAGATTAAATTATTTCTACACCACTGATTTCTAAGTACATGAATCAGCTTTTGACGAATTCATTGATTTGTAGGCTAGGAATTGAATTCGGCCTCGAAATCGTCATTTTTTTTTTATTTAACCGATATTGTAACTCTAATGGTACTGCCCTGTATAAATAAATCATCTTGTTGACTTTAGCTTAAATCAATAAATTGGCTTCAAAGTTTCTTTAAATTGAAAACGTTACGATAAATGCAACTGATGGGACGAAATTTATTGTTCATACGTTGCAAAAATGGTTTCCATCGGTGAATTGTCGCAGGAAAAGAACAATTTCAAAAAATTTCTTCAATAACTCTTGTGCAAAACGGGGCATTTTAAAAAAATTACTTGCAAATGACAATACTGAGTTTAATTTGCATGTGTAACCTGTTCAGCAACATAAATAGGACTTACCTGCGATACTTCGCTCTTTTTCCAAAAATACGTGGTTTACGTCAGTTAATTTTTGAATAAGGGTGCTCTTACTACTCAACCCACTATTACACACGATCCGGCAGGCCTGTCACTTCGACCTGAACAGTCCACCTGAAAGCCGGTCGCCTGAACATGACAGGCTGATTCAAATTCTAGGGCACCATGGGGATCTCGGGAACTATAAGAGATAGGTAGATAATTTAAATTTGACCATAACAATGTGTCATTTATTTCGAAATATCTTTTTAAATAACTTAGTAAAAAATAAAAACGATTTTGCAAAATTTCGCTTTTTTCCGGATATCTCCGAAAGTAGTCGGAATTTTTTCAGTTTCAAAATTGCATTTTGTTGAGCATCAAAATACACAACTTTGCGCAATTTAAACTATCTACCTATCTTTTACAATTCCCGAGATCCCTATGGTGACCCTAGAATTTGAATCAGCCTGTATACTCCCGTCGATCTGTCAGTTAAAACTGTTGAGGCGGTCGGAGAATAATCAAAAGTATTGTATGTCCGTTCATCCGGCCGGCCGACCTGATTTATCATAGTGAGCCGTGTCTGCGGCAAGTGATCTACTGTTTTCAAGAAAATTGACTAGTATTCGGAAGGAAGCAAAAAAGTGAAAGATTCAATGAGGACGGGATCGGGTGCCGATGAACTCTACCCTCCCAAGCTTTTGTATTATGATTTATTGAAGTTTGTGGAAGACCAAGAAGTCCCTCGGAACTCTCGAAGCAATATCTCTGATGCTTTCAGTTTCAGTTCGAACTGACAGACCTGCCGGACCGTGTGTAGCTGGCACAAGTTCATCCATTCCCGAAACTTTCGTGGTCGTAACTGTAGGAGGTAATAGTTCTCCTTCCACACACTGACTCTTAGGGTTTAGAGAAACAAAAACAACAAATTGGTTCAGTACTGTTTTTGTTCGTAATTGCGATACAATTGAAATAGCGCTACAATTATCTCGGATATTGTCTGCTCTAATCTACTATCACAGCTGATAGTATTTCTTCATAAATATATTATATCTTGGTAAAGGTACGTAAAAAATTATGTACAGGAACTCTCTCACTATTTAAAAAAAAAGTTAAATATAAATAAAAAGTTAAGTAGTTGGCAGTACGGTCACGATAGAAATGTAAATCTGATAAAAATTTTAAGTATGTCCCAATTAACCTATTCGCCGTGCACCACCCCTGCCACTACTATCCAAGACCAACGTCTAGGGTCATCATAATTAAAAATCCGCAGATTGCTCCCCATGTAGCCAATTTTCCGTTGCCACTGAAAAAGATACAGAGTATAGTGAGTGATTGATTAACAAAAAAGCAACAAGCAGAACAAGCGACACCCAGCATGCGAAAGCAGAAACTCTACTTTTTGTGAGAATTATTCATAAAATGAGTCGGATGTGGAAATGTAATCATATCAAAAATTGTTAACCACAAAATTTATGTGTATACTTATTTTATTATAATTCTTTCTTTGTTTTCCCATCGTAATTCCAGGAAAAAACTACCCCGTTTCCTGTTTGCGATAATTCGAGTGCGTTTGATTAATAAAATTCATTCACAAAATCTGCTGTAATCGTTATAGTAGTAATCGTTTGATTTTTCCGGCAACAACAGAGATTGCGAAATAATTACTCTATTCATGGTGCGATAAGAAAATGTTTTTGTTAAATAGAATCAATTCCAATAAAACGCAATGGTTTTGAATGAATTTGTAGACAACATGGTTCACTAAGCTACTTTTGAACTCTAACCGAAACATTCAATGAAAGGCCATAAATTTAACTGTAGAATTCATTTGTAAAAAGTTGTAAAAATAATTCTATAAATACAACGACCATAAAGGTCTCAATAGTTTAATTGATTTGTAAGTAGATAATTTATAAATAAAACGACCTCAAAGCCGATTACGAACAAATGACAGCAACAATAATTGGACGTAGGAGGATTCTCCCCGGTCGGCTAATAACAGTAATGGGTTATATTGTGCAAGCAAAAAGGGAGAAAAGGGGCGAACCCGAACAATGCGGAGCGAAAAAATGTAGTTTTTATGTGAAATTCGGAGCCCATTTCCATAATGATATAATTAATGCATTGCCTCGTATCAAGCTATCCATGTTGAGAGCTTTATTAAAAATACCATTTCACACGTGAAAATATTTTTATAGTTTAAATCGTAAATAGAAATTCGCAACAGATCATTATATCACATTTTTGACATAGAAAGCATAATGGCGTGACCTACAATTTCAATTGTTTTTCTATGCCCGCATTGCAACGTTTCTAAACTATTAACGGAAGTAAATTAAATGTAAAAGAATACCTGACAATTTGGTGTATTATATTCACACAGTTAACCGGCGGCGGTGGAAGCTTTTAGATTAGACTAACTCGTTTCGAAAATTCTTATAAGGTGTGCAATCCGTTTTTTGGAGACCGATTCAATTAAAATTAGAAAGGCGGCATTTCCAAAAACGTAGCCTTTATTATAGTACGCATCCTAATTTTTGGAAAAGACGTCTGGAATTGTTGGAAATGATCACTGTTTCTGTATTCTTTACAACCGAAAAACTAACCCTTACAGGTTAAAATTAGTTTTGAATTGATTGAATACCCGCCTTATTTTCCGGATCTAGCACTAGTATGTTTTCCAAATCTCAAAAAACATTTGAAGAGCAAAAGACTTTCCACAAATAGTGAGTGGGTCGTTGAGGTGTAGTTTGTGGATCAATTGTTTTTCTATCATGTACTTTTTTATATTTATTTAATATTGTAAAACGTGAAATATTCATATAAATAATAAATTTCTTCTAAGGGTGTCTGTGCAGGTAGTTCAATTTAAAAAAGTGAGAAAATCGCCATATCAATTCTTCATTTTGCTATAGCTTGTGCGATGCCATCTTGGATTTTTTGTACTCAAAATCGTTTTTGTTCCATACCTCGGAATACTTACTTTAACGCTAAAGTTAAAAAGAAATTGAAAAGTTGTTTCTATATTTTTGTTATTATTTATCTATAAGACAAAAAAGTTTGATTTTACGAAAAACATTCAAAATTGTAAAAATAACCCAGATCCAAAAGAATATGCAAAGTACATAAAACCCGTGCTTGGTATCTAATTAGGCCCTTTTGCAACCTATTTATAGATTTATTTTCTTGACCACATGGCAGAAAAATGTATTCACATAGGAGGTTATCTTTAGCTGTAAATATCGTACAACGTTCATTATGTAAGTAAGTCATTTTTTGATATAGTGGTACTAAAACAACTACACTCTTTCAGAATACGTGAAAAAAAGACAGAGTGTCATTTGAATGTTTGAACCGGGGGTGGCTAGGGGTCATGAATATCACGTTGGGGTGGTATCTTGTATGCTATTAATTTTCCCCTACTTCCTTGATGAGATTTCAAAATTTCACGTCGATATTTTTTGAAAACACCAAATAAAAGTCCATTTAAAGTTTTCGCGTGGACAAAGAGTATAAATATTGATATTAAATTATCATATGTACTCAAGCGTTAAGCATTCAAACTATATATACCTACTACCAGCTACGAGTCACCAAAGTGAAACGTCTCATGACCCAGACCAATAACCAAGCAGGAAAAATGTTATAATGACGCGGAAGCGGTAATTGCATTGCAAAAGTAGTTTTTACAAAACGCAGTTAAGCTAAAAGCGCAAGCCAAAAAAGCGTAGTACTTACCTCGTGTTAGCTTCCGGTATAATATCGTCTATGACCACGTAGATCATGGCACCCGCCGCGAAAGATAAAGCGTACGGTAACACGGGTCGAGCGACGGACACGGCAACGGCGCCCATCACGCCGAAGATCGGTTCCACCATGCCGCTCAATTGGCCGTACCTGCAAAATAAAATGGTATCGGTTTGAATAAGAAGTAGACGACTATTACTAGATAATTTTCTTGGATAATAATTAGCATGGGGACAGCTTGAACTAAAGCCGATGACCTGTTTGCTCTAAACCGGAAATTGTTAAACGGATAACTGCAACTATACTTAACAAAGTATGCACAACTAAAATGTAATGGGCTTTTAATTTAATTGCATTTTCTGCGGTAATGCGTTGTGGGGAGTCCGGAACCTTATTGTTGAGGGAAGTTATGCGGAAAGTTTCATTTCTGTTCTGGAATCGCTATCAGTAATGTCGCTTTTAAGAAACTACCTTTGTAATAATTCTGTAATATTAAATGATTGAAGGATTCGCCTAGGTCCTTAAGTAACAAACACGAGAAATATTACATCTATTCTATTACCAACACTTTCTTTCAATAGTACTTTTTATACAAACGGAAGTTAGAAACATGAAACAATAAAGAAGCGGGCGGAGGGGTATGTTTTGGATAAATTTCAATAAAAAGTACCCAAAGACCAGGGATGCTGTAAGGTAACTTGTACCATTCAGAAAAAGATACTTTGAGGTTTGTCATTTGGGAAAATGATGAGCTTGAGGAACCGGAAAAAGCCGAAAATGTTAGGAAAACTAAAGAATTCAAAATCGAAAGTGCATGAAACTGAGAAAGTCGAAACACTGTAGATGGAAAAACATAAGAGAAGTGTAGAAGAAACAGGAAAATTAGAAGAAGCCAAGAAAGCAGAGGACACCTAAGGATCAAATTTTGGGAAAGCGAGGAATTATAGAAAGCTTTTGTGGAGGTTAGGTTGCGTAGATCCCCCTGGTTCCTGCCTCATCTTTTTTTGTTTTCGCCGCGCTACCCCGAAGAGTTTTTTAGGCTCTCCAGTACTAGCTGCTCCGGTAGTAATTGTATTTGTATTTTGTTTTGACCCCTCCCCCTCAAAGCAGAAGTGTTGCCATAGTGTAAAAAGCGCATGCTACTAAGACGCGCTTATTATGCAACGAGTTCTGGAACACTATTTGTGTGACAGAGATGAATATACGCTGGTAGATGGAAGATTACACTGCAACGAGAATTGTGGAAACACTTCCGATCGAGACGTAAGGGGAGTGTTTATTTATGCATGAAAAAGTCACGTGGTCTCCAATCCTCTTAACCACAGAGTTAGTTCGTTTCATTTGAATTTGTTTTTCGGTGTAATTTTTCCTTTTAGAAATTTTGTTCGTGCGTAATCCTTGTTTAAATTTTGTTACTTTTGTAATTTATTCAATTTCGATAAGGTGTTACGAGGTAAGACACATTTGGTCGTTTGCGATATTTTATTATCAGACCAAATTTAATTGAGGCGCGTGTTCTGGTGCTGAGAAAGAGATGCAGATGTTTCGTAGAATTGTGTGTTTCTTGTTGGAGAGTGGGGACGTTTGGCGCTCTCCGTTGTGATTGGAAATTTATTTGAAAATTCTAAAACGCGTTTTTTTTTGTTGGAGGAATTGCAAGTTAACCAAAGTTTTGTAAAGTAAAAATCAAGCAGTGCTAGTACAGTTTTATTAAGGTTCTCTCTCCTTATTAAAAGTTTCTACAGCATCCGTTCATCTTATTATTCAAACCAGTTTTATTTGTCATATTGCACTGTGTTATAAAGCAAACCTTGTTCGACCAGATTTGGATTACAATAAAACGGGAATGTTAAGATTTCATATTTTATTTGTCGACGGCCTGTGTGCCGGGTAGTATGTCCAAACTAAAACAAGGTTTGAAGGCTTTTACTTATTATCCCTCTCTTGTTCTGGGCCCTCAACAGGCTTGCGCCCAATTACAGAGTGGATAATACATAGTAGCATAGTAATAATGCTTTTTAGAGGTGCCCCCGCAGAAGGTCTTAAATTGTTCTATACTACTCCGGTATTTACCTCACGGATGGGGAAAACCTAATTCGGAGTAGCCGGAAGAATGCTCGAAACTGATCTAACGAAATTCTCATCTCAGCCACAGAGGAAAAGTTCCTACCTCAGCCCAGGTTTGAACACCCGACCTCCGGTTTTGTAGTCCAACGCTCTACCATTCAACCACAAAGTCGGTTCGGTTTTCTTTCTTTCAGGGATTTTGATTAATTTTTTTGTTTCGGAATAAATTATTCTCATTGTCAATCAATATATAGTGTGTTTATTCGAATCCATTGTGCGACCCGGATAGTTTTTCATGTCAAATTTTCTTTTCGTGTTAAAGAATTATCATAGAAGATACAACGATGATCAATTAGCGAAAACATGCGCAATAAAAGTTATTATCATACTTTAAAGATATGCCAGAAAAACCGAAATTTGTCGAATTCGTTTTTATTTTTTCCTGATGTTATTTAAGCAAATACAACAAAATAAAAAACACTTTCTCATTGCCACTTTTGAGCTCTATAAGACACCGTTGAGAAAATTTCAATACAACGTTTCGTTTCGGAGAAATCATCATCTTTGTTTTGTCTATGGTCCGTAAAAAAAGTACATATTGTATTGAGTAGCATTTTTTATTATGAATATATCGTTATACGACACACAAAAAAAAATTGGACTCTCTCCAAATAACTTAAAAAAAAAAAGTCGTACGTCGACTACGATTTCCAAAAGGCAGATTTGGGCCAGTATTGTTTTGTATTTTGTTAAGTGCACGCGTTTATTTTGGATTAATCTAAATTATTAAGGTGAGTGTCTCTGCTTCAATTTTATTGTATGGATGCAATTAGGTTCATCTCTTATTCATAAAGGGGTAAAGACGTACCCTTTCTTTGAAATGTTATGCACATGAATTACGTTTGAAATTACGAGAATTATTAGTATTAATTATTGAAGGTACCTTCTTGTCTTAAGTGTTAGGGTATGTTGATTATTATATTAGACTTAGGGGTGTTGAATGCTATGCCCGCTGAATGTGCATTTAATTACTGCTTGTCATTAATTGGAATAGACCAGTGGGCCCGAACACGTCGGAAGATCTCCCAACTTGCTGGGAGTACGTCGCGCACAAGGGCAGTTCCATGTCTGTAGCTGGAGGTCGTGGTCCGCCATTGAATTAAACTTTAAAACCTTCCTTCACTCGCGGAAGCTACGTGGGGCCCGGCCGACGTGACGTTAAAAAGGCTCCTTAACGTATGGAGAAGTAAGTGCTGTGGGCAAATTTAAGGGTGCGTGAGGGTGAGGGTCTTCTGATCGATATCTCAGGATTCGTTCGACCCAGCACATCGGTGGAAGTCCTGACCACCACGTTGGACACTTCGTAGCCGTACCCCAGGATTTGTGCGAGTCGACCGATCAGTTTAAGCCCTCCGTGCCTGGGCTGTCTGAGACCACCACGTCGAAAGGTTCCTGTTTGCCCTCGTTCACTGTGAGGGTGGGTTTCAATGCATGGGAGGATACGTGATCTTTCACCTATATATACAGTGTGTCTGAATAGCCGAAAGTCATGGCACATTATTGCTCATGAGGGTTACGTATTCCAGATCCCGGCGGACCCGGGCGTCATAAGGTCTCCTTCACGGGAGTTACGTTTTCTGCGTAAGTGCTTCCGGGGCAAAATGGGCCCGGATATTATTAGCCAGCTGACGTGATGAGACTCTTACAGATCGTCGTATAATTCCACGCATCAGGGTAGGGAGTGCACAGGGGCATACGTAGCCGGGTGACACATGGCGACATGGAAGTTAGAAGATTCTCTGTTCTCGTTAGCCCAGCTACAAAGTCTAGCATGATTGAGTGTTGCTGAGTAACATCATTAGAGTAGTTACGAGCTGAATGCAAAACAGAGGTTCCTTGTGTATCTTGCGTTTCTTACGGTGGTCCACGCCGAGGGCATCCATGGAGACCAGGTACAGGCCTAGATGATCCTGACAATTTGGGGTGCGTGATATTAGTTAATTAATAATTGATTTGCAATTGAAACAACAACCAATTGCGACATGTTACAAGCTGAGATCTCAAACCCTCCGACAGACAGGCGAACGGAGTTCACAAATTAGAATTAAACAATCAATGATTTTGAAACTATTTTAGAAATCATAATAGCAAAAGAGAAAGAATGTTCTTAAATGAACCGTTGGGGGTTTACACCTATTTCTTTTTTGAACGTATATAGTAACTATGTATAGGGGTTGTTCACGTTATCTAATTTAATTTAAATATTTTAAGAATGTTGCAGACCATCGCAGAATATGATTAAAACATTATAAATAGATTCGAACGTGTAACAAGATATTATTTTAAGAATGGGTAAAAATGTAAATAATTAATGTGTGTAAGCATACACCGGATGTGTAATGTAGGAAAGGGAAACCTACATCGAAGGTAAGAACATTTAAAGAATGTGCCTATTGAAAACCGATCCAAAAACACCGTTAAAATACCATCACCATCGATAACCACTAAAAATGCGATAACCTGCAAGATGATCGGCAGTTTGGTATGGTATCCCGTCAGCTAAGAAACAACACGTGGCATTCGCGACCCTGCAAGGTCGTTCCCAGCTCATTAATGCTCCTACGGCTCCTTCGCAATTCGCCTTGGAGCATAATTAACTAGCTTCACCGTTCATCGCACATAGGAATGTGGCTGGAGAATCAATTCCGTACCTTACTACATGAAAAGAATACATTTTCGTACCTGCATTCCATTGACAATTGTTAACCATTTTGTTATAATTATCGGAAGGTAGAGAATAATCGTTCAAAGCATACCAAATGACAGCTTGATTTATTATTATTGCTTTCCCTTTAATAATTTCTTTAATTTGTACGACTTCCTATACAAAATGTATCCAGTAATCAATATTAATTACTGAATGATCGGCTCCTATTCATTCATTCTATTGAATTAGAAAACCGGCACGATGTGAAGTGCTATAGAATTATATACGGGGACGATGCGAAAAGCACGTACAAAAAATTTTAACGCAAATAATTCAAAAATTTATTTAGTTGGCATCCTCCACGCTACTGAATCTGCAATTTTTCGCATTTTTTTTAAATTAAACAATGAACGTCAATTTTCAAATTTCGGAAATAATGGCATGCATATTTTGCAACATTTTCTCAGTACAATTTAATCTGGAAGTGAACAACGAAATTTGATGGCCGTCTGGCACACCTTCAAGGTATAGGCTTCCTACTGCAACAAACTCTAGGACCATTCCCCTAGAAGTAGTTCGAAACGGTAGAAATGGGTCCGGACGGATGGACGGACAAAACGCAAACAATAGCAAATTTTTTTTAATTCTTAAAAAATGCACTAAAAAACATATAACTCTCGACATAAGTAAGCTACTAATTGATAGCCGAGCTACAAAACTTTAAATATTGAGTGTGAAAATGTAAATCAATATGGAAAAAAAACACAAATTTAAACTATGATCAAAATAATTACAATCCACGTTCTGTTCGTAATTCGCACAAAAAACTAAAACTAAAATGTGATTTTTAGTTGCGTTTTTTTGTACCGATTGGGAGCAATATCCTGATTGCAATTTCTTTTCTTATTGGAACTGTATAAGAACTTTTAGAAATGTTTCAGGAATTTTCGAAATATGTAGAAAATGTTACAATTAATTGACCCTTTAACAATTCAGAAAAATTATTACAATCACAGGTCACTTTTCGTTTGAAAACCGAGCTCCAAATGTCTATTGCAAATATTTCGAGATGAAATAAAAATATAAGAAGAGAGAGGGAATAATTATGTGTCATATTCAAATTAGTCAAATGATCCTCGAATGATAACCTGCACATCACAAGAAGGAAAATCTACCTTATTGTAACCGTAACGTAAATTTAGTTACTTCCGTGACTTCTTTGTTTACAATTAACTATAGCGCGTTCGCACCTCCAGATGCAGTATGGGGTCTTATGGACTATTTGCCTCTCTTACTAGTTTGCGTCATTCTTCGATAATACTATCCTTGTTTCTAACCGCATTGATGTTAAATTGACGTATGATTAAATTGAAGTATTAAAACAAAACATAATTCGTGAACGCTCCCGAATATTCTACAATGTTTTCTAACAAATACGTCATATTTCCCGGGAAAATGCGTTAAAATTCTATCAAAAGAGACAAACGCATGTTACGCCACTGAAAATATTTTCGCGGGGAGTGCAGAGAGAGAGAGAGAGAGAGAGAGAGAGAGAGAGAGAGAGAGAGAGAGAGAGACGTTTTTAGCTCAAGGCGCAGAATGTAGATAGCTTTTGGTGGTATGTCTTTGTCCTTTACTTTTTCCTTTGTAATTATTGCAATTTACATAGAATGTATTGTGATTGTTTCGTATTACTTGCCTGCTGATTTATCAGGATGTTTGCTTTTATAAATTTGAATTTGCAAGTCCTTATGAAACATTGCGAAATGTTCGTAAAACAAGTTAACAGTTGAGGTATGGGCCGTATTTATGGTAGTCTTCGACGATTCTTGTAAAATTTAATTCGGTCGTTTCGAATTTTGACGTCTCCCCGTAGACTGCGACTGAGGCAGATGGCCGCTTCTGCCTTCCCTTCATCCCACCTCTGTATAGTCTGCTTTCAATTGGTGATGAGATGACTCATCGGTGAAACGGTCGGTCACGATGACTTGTTTTGCACCGGTTGGATGCATCTCAAGCCCTTTGTCAATACCAACGTCCGACACTCCGTTCGTGAGATATTCGCATTTGAAGCATAATCGCCAACAAGTTCGTCTGCACAATTTCATAGAAATCGCTCTATACATAGTGATTCAAATTCGAGGGATCTCGAGAACTGTAAGATATAGGTAGGTAGGTAGTTTAAACTTGGCAAAGTTGCGTATTTTGATTAACAAAATGCAGTTTTGAAACTGGAAAAATTCCGACTACTTTCGGAGTATCCAGAAAAACGAAATTTTGCAAAATCGTTTTTATTTTTTACCAATTGGGAGGTGACGGTTTTACAGTTTTACACCTAGGTAACTAGAAATAAACCTTTGTGCTAAGCGGCGTACGGTGAACATTTTAAAGACAATTAATTTGTGCATTTTGCTCGCAACAAACAATATGTATATTTTTTAATATCTGTGTATAAATAACCACGAATTACTCGAATTTTGAAACTGGTGTGTTTGGATTCGTCATTAATACGAATTTTCCTTCTGTCAAAATTGGCATTCATCACGAAGACAGACGTACAGGGGCGGAGCAGCAGGTTTAGCTGTACCGTACAGGAGCGATTTATTTCTATCTTTCTCAGAAAAGCTACCTTTTCCAAGGACGTATAAGATCAATTCGTAGCAGAAACGTCAAACGTCAATAACTGTAAGTTATTTTAATTCTTTTTGGTCGGTTATTAGGAATTTGCATGTTGATTTTGTTTGAACTAATTTTAATTTTTCATGAAGGAATCGACCCATGGGAATTTATTTGCACGAACAGATTTGTATTTCATTTATTGATTGAAATTCGCACTTAATTTCAATAATACCATTCCTTTGGTTGCATAAAAATTTTGATTTGCATTCAAGGTGTGTGGGTGTGTGTATTTCGAACAGGAGAATATACCAGAAATATATCATGTGGTAGATACAATATTTAGATAAGGATCAAATTTACCCGAGACCTGTGATCACAAAATAGGCATTGTATTTTTCTTGTATTTCTCTTTATAAATCGAACTGAACCAATATTTGGAAAAAATTGAATTTGATCGCTTTTGCTTTACTTGTATATTTATATTTATATATTTGTATATTGAGTCAACTAAAGTCATATGCGTATTTATTGGAGTTCAATTAAACTAGAGCATTCAATTTGGAATTTCATATCTTAGAAGAAGATAAGAGGCCAAACTTCCGCAAGGCAAGTGGAATAAAAAAAACAATTTTATTAGAGAGATAGACGTGGGAATCATAAAAATTGATTGTTTTATTAAAATGTTTGCCAGTGTCGCAGAGATTGTATAACGCACGCCGCTGCTCAGAGTTTATAGATTTGTTGCAAATTTTTTATAATTTTTGATACAATCAATATGACAAAACTAAACAAAAGACTAACGATGTTTTTAGCGCAAACTAGTAAAATTATAAAATTGATTAATACAACTATTTTCCTTTGTTTGAGTTTTTTCTCTTCAATTTTATTGTGTAATATATGTAATAGTTTTTTATGTTGCTATATCCAAAAAAGTGTACTCTTTAAGAATATGTAACGAAAATTACTAGCTGCTATTAAAAAAATATTACCCCCGCCTTCAACATTCACAAGTACGCCACTGACTACAAATTTAAAGTACGTAGATTGGTATCAAACTTTTTATAATTTTTGATACCATAAAAGTACAATTATTGCAAAATTTTGTGATGGGGCTAACTTCGTGCTCATGTAGTTTGAGTTGCAAGTGGAACGTGTGTTTTTGTTCTACAGATGGGGTTCGGTAGCAATTTCCACAAACCGATGATGTATAGTTTGGTCTACATGTTTTGTTTGATAAGGCGAAATGTAAACATAACAGTAAATTACTTACCACAAGCTCTTCCATAATGAAAACCCAGCTGCGTGTAACGGTAGACTAACAGCTAAACCTTCGGGAAAATTCTGAATTCCGATGCCAATCGCCAAGTTTCTGGAAAAAAAAAGAAAATTTAAGCGAGGATTTTGGGCATAAATAAGGATTCTAAAGCGATGACATCAACGTCGCTTATTGCATGTTAAATCTCATTTGCTACATTATGATTTATACCGACGTCTTCACGACAGTAACATGGGGGAATAACTGCATTAATTGATTTATGCGGTCTAATCATTTCTATTTCAGATCACTCACTCACGCGAATTCTAATGCCGCCCCGCCGGGGGAATCGTTACACAATATAAAATTTTCCCAGTACGATAAGACGTACTTTCTGAACTAAAAGGGACATTACTCCGTGATAAGTGATAGCTTATCGCAGTTATTCCCATGAACGTGAGGTATTCCTTCAACAATCCGTTTTATCCCTTATCGCTTTGTATATAAATTATTGCTTTAGGTAGGTATGTGAGACTGAGATTGTATCTGATATTGCATTACCGGATATTGCTAATTTGTATGTTTACTTTGCGGTGTGGGCGACTTGTAGAGGTTAGCACAATGTGAATCTCATCCGACTTTTAGATTTACGGCGCGGCTGGCCGTACGATAATCCAAATGAGCCCTTGAGTAAGTACGATTCGAGCTTTAGATATCGGTTCAAGGCGGTTCTCACGAGAATAAGTCAAATCGCCCACTGAACGAAAGCACTGTGAAGACAAAATAATATACAAACAACGACCGGATTCATCATCTATCGATTGCCAATGAGGAAAATGTGGCAACCTTTGATAGTCCATTTTCAACTGAAATGCATGAGAAACGGATACGTCTCCTATTCTCAGGGATAAAAGTAAAACTTTATCAAAATCGACCTTTTCTCAATTAAACGTACAATAAGATGTAAATTATTGTTGGCTTTAATCACCTCTTGACAACCAATAATTGATTAATCGATGGGAGCGATTTTAATCGTAATGCAAATCGACAGATCGCGATGAAGATTTGGAAATAAACAATCTTAATCATAATCGTTGTGAAATGATAACAATAGGTACATAATTATTGCTGCAATGAAGACATGTCAGTTGGAGAGAAAATGCAGTACATATTTTTCCTTCTTTTGGGGTTTGTAGTAACCAAGTGACTTTATTGTTGTTCTTCCTCGTGTTCTTCTATCTGTTAATGTATTATTATGGTTTATTGGTGTTTTTGTTTTACGTTTTGTATCCTCTAGAACCACAGCAGTTTCAGTGTTTCTAGTGATTTTATTGTTCTTTGATGCGATAGTGTGTAAGTATAAACTTATCAGAGAAGACCAAACCAAAATAACAACTTTTTGTCAAATGAACTAAATGCCCGTTGCACGAACCTATTATTGATAAGAATTTATTCCTGAACCCGATGTAAAGAAACGCGATTGGTTACTGCCTTTGACCCTATCCAACCATCAGGACTATGGTTAGTAGAAATTAATTCCTTTCATGAAAGTACCATGAAGGATAATAAACAATTTTTCAGGGTTTATTCAAGGGTATCTTCTTAGACCTTTAATTGCGCATCTTTCCTCTCATTCCATCAAATTTGTATTACCGTTTTCCTTCATAATTTAAATAAGAGTAAAGTGGTGATAGTAAAGGCGTAAGGGATACAAACCCTTCTGGCGCAGAGTATTTCCCTGACAAATCGACCGTTTGTTGAAATGTGTGAACGAGATTTCTGTGCAGAATGCTGGTCTCGAAAGTACACACAACGATTGAGAATACATTGGAACAAATTTTTGCACATCTCCTGAAGAAATCGAAAAAAATACACCTAACCTCAAACAGACGAATACGGGCGCACCGGACTGTTACCGTGAAAAAGTAAACATGACAGATCCCGCCCCAGAACACGGCCGGCGCAATGTGATGTGTGAACCGCCGCATTGAATATCTCTGCGTTCAATGTTCATACTTTACCGGCAGACGGCGGTACGGTCACAGTTCTGACATGGGGCGGTTCAGACCTTTAGTCGGTCACAATTGGCATGCCAGACGAAGATTAAGTAAACGAAGAATATGGTGGGTGTCCGTTTTGGATATTCCCGAAACCCCGATTCTGATATCTCAGAATAGGACGTCTTGAAGCTATCAGGCCCATCAAAAAGGTCAAAGATCAGACAATCAAATATGTTTCATCGATGTATTTGCACATGTTGGACGGTACTATTATGGCCACTTTCTCAGTCCATCCGTCAGTTCGACCCCGTAACTACTCCTACAGTTTTCAAGATATTTAGTTCGTTCTTTTTACATTCGGTAGCTTACAGCTCTGGCACCTCAACTCTTGACGATTGGTGTGCGCATGCGCAGACTGCGCAATTTCAACTTCTTATTTATAGAGATATCTTTTTTTTAATTTTAACCCCAAGACTCTAACATATCGCATATTGTAAAAATAGAATGTGCGCTTACGAAAACTGGGCAATGTAGATTTATAGAGATATTCAGCCCTGTGATGTATCAGAAATGTCAAACTTAACCTTATTTAATATAGGAAAAATGACGTTTTTGACAGATAACCTGCACGTTAAGTTTAACGTTTGTGAATTGTGATACATCACATGGCTGATTTTCTAGTAAAGGCAAACATATCGCATATTTTTAACATCATACTAGAGGAGGTAGCTGGATATCCACCGAACGAGAGTGATCCAAATTTTAACCGATGGAGTTCCACTTTGGCCTATGCGAGTATGCTTAAATCGACCGTTTGCCGCGTTACGTCATGTTACTTAAGGCTCTGCGGTACCAGTTCTAAATGGTCGACAATAGCTTTTAAAAAAATATTTAAAAAAATCTCGAACATTTGATATCTCTGTAAAAAGCAATTCTTCGTCGCTATTTCACGAACTTTCTACAGATATAACTAGGTTACGGTTGGATGAAGGAAGTTGATTTTTTACAGACTAATGATAGGTACTGCTGACTAGGACAGTGCTTCTTTTTTAATTTTTTTCTCTAATTATAAGATCCGGACACGGACATCACACCACAAATAGAAAATGAAATCAAAACAGACCATCGATAATCGACAAATTTTTCCAACTTTGTCGAAAAGGTTGAAGTAAAGATTTTCAAACGTCCGTACATCGTAGTCTCATCCAAATGAACAAATTGTAGAGAATTCATTTCTAAGTACCTCAATTTTGAAATTCGGCCAATAAGAACAGTAGAAATGTCGATCAATGATCTGCGCTACTACTTTATTTCCGCAATGGACTCTGTTGGTCTTCAGTCACTACGAGTGTATCACAAAATGGTGGTTGGATCCCCTCGAATGGGCTTCGAAACAAGATCCCACAAGCCTCATTCCCGTTGCTATGGAGACTCGGCACCACCATCCATACTTCATCTCATCTCTTGTAGTTAGTAAAAAATTCTGCAATAGAGCCTGCACATGCACCAGGGAAGGGTAGACGTGTAACAATATTTGCATAAACTTTAGTGGAATCAGCTGCAACGACATCGTACCATTTGAACTTGACGAGGGATATGAGGATCTGGAGGAGATTGAGGGCACTGACATGGATCCCACCATAGATGAAGAAGCTTGACCATCCTAAACAACGCAGACTCCGTGATAACCAAGTTGAGGCAGAAGGAACCCATCAAGCAGGACACGAAACCTCCTTATATATTGTTTATTTATTTTATTTTTTTGTCTTTATTTTTAAGTGGGCGAGGTTTCACCCAAAGCTGCTCTAAAAACCCATTTACACATATCCATGTCCCAGCCCGCATTCGAGCTTTTGCGCCACTGCGCCACACAGATCGGCGTTTGTAGACTTCCTCTGAGAATAATCGAGGAATACGTACGTATTATGTATGCTTGTACATTAGGATTACCCTGTACATACTTGTTCACAAAAAAACATTTATACAGCACTGATTCATTTTTTTAAATACCGATTAGAATTGTCTACTTCCTAACATTTTTTTGTAGTGACCATTAGGCAATCTCCTGTACTCAAATTCCACGCTCAAATCGTTTGACGTATAACACGCCCCCTCACTCCCGCTTTCAAAAATGGTGTTTGGAATAGATACAAACGACTCTGTCGGTTTGTGATGGACGGTTTTGACCTTATTTTCTAGTCGAAATATAACGTTGTGAAGCGCAAACAACAGATTGCTAACCTTATGCACTTAGGTAGGTATACCGTCACTTTATAGAGACAGCGGCGACAATAGGAACCCAGCCGTCATGTTGAATCGAAAATTCAAACTAGAAGTAGACAACACACAGTACGCGTATAACATGTGTTTGATGTATTGCGTACACTACAATACAGAATTAAAACATAGGTACTCGATACAAATCGCCGATCTCAACAAGCACTCGAAAATTAGACACTCTATTGTCGCCACTGTTTCTATAAAGTCACTATCTCGTTTTTAATTGGCAGTTGGCTCCGGTCGCCATATTGGGGCTAAAATGCTATACTTTGGTATAGGAGTATACACTTTTCTTTGTATTCTTGCGCAATTCTGTGTGCTGCTTAAGGTAAAATATATATTGTGAACCTGGACACTCGGTTTTATATAAATAGTTTGGTGTGTTTAAAGTAAATAGAAATTACGAAAAGATGATTATGCTGCTCAATTCACAATTGTGACCATAAATACGCAGGAATTGAGTAAATTTTAACATATCGCTGAAGCACAACGAATATTGCGTTTTTGTACTCCGTGGACTAAATCAATGTATTTTGTCTTCTATTTAAGGGACTAAAGTGTCACTTTTGTTTCGAACGCGACACCGGACACTGAAATGTCAAACACAATTATTTTTCTTTTTTTGTTCTCTATCTCATTCCGTAAAAATCCAATATGGCGTCTATAAGAAATGCGAAAGTAGTAGTTTGTAGAGTGTAGCTTCTACAACTCGCCTGTTATGGAAATTCTGATAACTGATGCGGGTTCTCGGAAAAAAGTGCCCATAGAAGGCGTTAACTGGATTTACGGGAATAGTCCATTTGCGACCGAATGAACTAGGGAAAATGAAAACGA